CGGGCGTCATAGCCGGTCTGAACGTATTGCGAATAATCAATGAACCGACAGCTGCGGCTTTGGCGTACGGTCTGGACAAGAACCTGAAAGGAGAGAGGAACGTGTTGATATTCGATTTGGGTGGTGGCACGTTTGAYGTGTCTGTTCTGCAGATCGACGAGGGTTCCATATTCGAAGTGAAATCAACAGCGGGCGACACGCACTTGGGAGGCGAAGACTTCGACAACCGGCTGGTGGGTCATTTGGCCGAAGAGTTCAAGAGAAAATCCAAAAAGGACGTGCATACCAATCCGAGAGCGTTGAGACGGTTGAGAACGGCCGCCGAACGGGCCAAGAGGACGCTGTCGTCTAGCTCGGAGGCCACAATAGAGATTGACGCTCTGATGGAAGGTATCGATTTCTACACACGAGTGTCACGAGCTCGTTTCGAGGAGCTATGCGCGGATCTGTTCAGATCGACTCTGCAGCCAGTGGAGAAAGCGTTGGCGGACGCAAAGTTGGACAAGGGCGACATACACGACGTGGTACTCGTGGGCGGTTCGACGAGGATCCCGAAAATCCAAAGTCTCCTACAAAACTATTTCTGCGGCAAGCCGCTCAACCTGTCCATCAACCCCGACGAAGCGGTAGCCTACGGTGCCGCGGTGCAAGCGGCCATTCTCAGTGGCGACACGAGTTCTGCGATTCAAGACGTATTGCTCGTTGACGTCACCCCGCTGTCGCTCGGCATCGAGACCGCCGGGGGCGTGATGACCAAAATCGTCGATCGTAATTCCACGATTCCGTGCAAACAAACCCAAACGTTCACCACGTACGCGGACAATCAACCTGCTGTTACCATCCAGGTGTTCGAAGGGGAAAGGGCCATGACTAAGGACAATAATCTGTTGGGAACGTTCGACCTGACCGGCATACCTCCGGCGCCCAGGGGTGTACCCAAGATCGAGGTGACTTTCGACATGGACGCCAACGGTATTTTAAACGTGTCGGCCAAGGAAAACAGCTCTGGGCGTTCCAAGAACATCGTYATAAAGAACGACAAGGGTCGCCTGTCTCAGGCCGAAATCGATCGAATGCTCAGCGAGGCCGAGCAGTACAGAGAAGAGGACGAACGTCAAAAAGCCAAGATCGCGGCCAAGAATCAGTTGGAGAGCTACGTGTTTGGTGTTAAACAAGCGTTAGACGAGGCCGGCGACAAGTTGACCGAATCGGAGAAGAATACCGGCAAACAGGAATGCGACGCGGTCGTCCAATGGTTGGATAACAATCAGTTGGCAGACAAAGAAGAGTACGAGTACAAACTAAAGGAAATCCAAAAGAGCTGTTCGGCTCTAATGATGAARATACACGGTGCAGGACAAGCCGCCGGTGGTGTGCCTCCCGGTGCTCACGGTTTCCCCGGTTCTAGAGGACCTACCGTCGAAGAAGTCGACTAATTCCTTTGACAATGTTCTCATTTATTATTTATATTTGTACACGCTATTATCGACTACAATTCTATATTGTTTGTTTCCTATATTCCTATAGTTATTCATTAGGTTTAAGCCAAGACTGATTTTTATATTGTAATATTTATAGTTAACTAATAACTATGTTTTCAAATAATAAATATATTTATTAGCTCTTTGTATATACATTTTGTCTCATTGTTTATCTTGGAGAGAGTTCAATGTTTGGTATCTAATGTTGATGTAACATGTAAAATATGTCGTATCTACCTATCTGATTGTAGGTGTATTGCAAATTGTTTCAAACCTTGTAGGTTGCCACTTGTACCTTGTCGTACTTGGTATCTTATTATAAATATAATATAATAAATCTACTTACAAATGAATATTTTTTTCTTTCAAAAGTTTTTAAAAAACATTAGTATAGAAATAGGACTCGAAAGTTATATATACGAGACGTTATAAAATCGAAATATGCATATTTGTTTTTTTGTATTTATATCTTACGAATGAAATAAATATTTAAAAATTATCAACAAGAAATGTGTGCTTAGTGTGCAAGATGATAACCATACATTGTAAATGCCTAGAGTGGTCATTGTAAGAGATGTGTTGAATTTGAAATCAAATTATTCAACAGCATAAAATCACTGTAACTGTACTTTTACGAAAACAGTCTGTCGGCCTATATGTTACCATAACTACTTTAAGTACTAATTATATTTTATGTTATTGCTTTTTAAGTCATTTATTC